GTCAACACTATGATAGCCTTACCGTATTATCTGTGTCATTACTTCAGATATAATCGGGGCTACGGACGTTTTAGAATGGCCACCATATGTGCTCATAGGGTTCTCACTATCAAGATTGAAACACTTGATACCTCATCCCAGGTCTACCATTCTAAGGACATATATCATACATATGCAATAATAATGATTTTACGCGTATAGAGAATAAAATGCGTTTATGATTAATGAACATTATTACAAAAGTCAATTTACAATAATGATTGGCTCTAGGGCACCTACTCCAACAAAAAGGTTCTGTGTTTTTTCATTTTATTTTAATTTGATTCACTTCAACCATGTAAAGAGTCTGGTGGTAGCCTTTTTTGGGCTGAAAGCATCCCTTTTTAATGTTGGTGTTTGGTCATAAGAGAATTATTTCTACCATCCTTTTGAAGAGATAGTGTTTGCCATTATTTTCTATCTCCTTTTCCATAAATTTTTTTTTGCATTCCTTTTTAATGTGGTTTTGGTGTAGAGAGTTATTTCTACCACCTTTTGAAGAGATGTGTTTGCCATTATTTCTATTCCTTTTCCATAAATTTTTTTTTTTTAAAAAAAAAGGAAAAATGAATATTTTACTTTGTTGATATGAGATCTTAAAAAGATAATTCTAAACTCCCAACTTTTTGTAAGGGTAATCAGGTTGAGTATCCGCCCTTTTTCAAAGGAATCAGAATCGAAATTAGAACTTGCTAGAAAACTAGAAACGTGGTTTGGTTCCTCAATAGCTGGAATCAAAACTGAAAAACAGGTTATGGTTATGGGTACCCAACAAAATTCGAATATCCGCTACTATTAATAAAAATGACAAATTACCCTATACAAATTACAAATACACCCTTAATAGTTTACAAAAATACAAAACACCCTAGGTACCAATCGATTCCAACCCGAGTACTCGGACCTCAATTCGATTTCGGTTCTTGAAGTGGTGAACCAGAACTAAAAACGAAATGATACAGTGTCAGTTCCACAAAATTTAGAACCGAAATGACCTTTCCATGCGACTATTGGGTAGGAACTGAAACCGAAACCCCGGGATCCCACTAGTTTGATTCTACCGGTTTCTTGTTCACTCATAACTTTGTATATGTCAAACGCACACCTTATAGCTCTAAGGGAGCGTTTGGGTTGGGGGTAAGGGGGATTACTAGGGTTATATCATCTTATATTACTTGATTACCACGTTTGGTTGTCAAGTAATATAAGATTCCGGTAATCTTCAAATACCAATAGTAGTACTATTGTAATATTGGAGGTAATCTGATTACCTCCATTTTTCTAGGTATTCTGAGATTACCAGGGTTATCATTTTTTGTTACATTTTATCCCTTAAATGAAAATTTTGGACAATAATGCCCTCATTTTAAAATAATTTACATTAAATCCTATTTCAATTTACCCTTATTAACTAAAATTTTGGACAATAATGGTCTTGCTACTTAAAACAATTTACAGCCACTGCCACTCAGCCACCACCACCACTACCACCACCGCGACAGCGGCCAACCACCACGGACCGCCGCCGAAAACTCGTCGGAGTCCCTAAAAAGGAACGAGTTTCGTGGGAGGCTCGGGAAGGCATCGATATGGCGTTTCCGGCCATATTGATGGCCAAAAATGGCCATATCTAGCAGATCTGGCTGGAAATGGCCAGATCATTCTGGCCATTTTCGGCCAGATCGGTGGATCTGGCCGTTAATGGCCAGATCCTTGGCCATTAGCGGCCAGATCTAGGTGAGATTGGCCGTTAACTGCCACAACCTGGCCGTTAACGGCCAGATCTATTTTGCCGGAATAGATCTGGCCGTTAACGGCCATATCTCACTAGATCTGGCCAATAATGGCAAGGATCTGGCCATTAACGGCCAGATCCGGCCTGATGATATGGTTGTTTTCGGCCCCTCAATGTGGCCGAAAACGGCCATAGCAATGCTCTTGGTCACGGTGAATTGTCGATGGGGGTTCGAAGACTTCCGACGGTGGTCTGCGGTGGCGGCAAGCCGGGCGGCAGGAGGTGGGGGTGATTTTGTCATAAAAATAAAGTTTTATATAAGCGGGGGTGTTTTAGCTAAATCTGAAATCTTGGGGTTAAAAGAAATTATTCAAAAATAATAATTAAAATAATCTTATATTATATTTAAAGGGGGACAATTTAGTAATTTAAAAACATATCCACCAATTTATCCCCAATAACCAAACATATTTATATAACATACCCACCACAACTAACCAAAACACATTTTTTTAAGATTCCAGTAATCTTCTAAGGTAATCTATCTTCCCAGTAATCTAACATTCCTAGTAATCTAACATTCCTGAACCAAACGCCCCCTAAAAGTTTCAATGAGACGGCTATAATTTATCGCTAAGCTCCTTAAGGTTTACTCTATTAGGGAACATTACCGATAATTAAGAAAATTTTAATATAATATGAAATATAAATTTTAAAAAAGATATCAGTACATCAATGGTAACGTAAAATTACTAACACACAAATTTATTCATCTTACGAAATTGTAAAAGATGAAACACACCAAAACATTTGAACTCTCCAAAATATACAAATCAATTTAACTTTATCACAAACGAAGATATTGAAAACTAACATAAACATCAAACAACAGGTCATTTTTAATATCTTCAACCATATATCCAAGAGTATTGAATCCAGATAAGGTAGAGTTCCTTCTATTCGGAACAGCTTAATTTTGCAATCCAACATACCCTAAAGTATTGATGGACGAACTCATTTGCTCAAGTTGTTGATTAAATAATCAACTGAGTTTAGATGGATATCCAGATATATGATATTATCTCTATAATGGAATAATCTAGGATGGTGATGCATAGCAAGTCGTTAACAAAGCTTGTATGCTCAGTATGAAAAGGTTTTCGATCACGAATCTTGACTTGCACAGAAGCATGAACATGGAAATTGCATCATTGCATTATATTCCATAAATTGAAGTCCAAAACTTTGTGACAAATACCACAAGGACAATTATGTGGCCTAGCCTAAGGTGAGGAAGAGCAAAGCTGAGGCTGAGCTCATGTGGGTGAGCTTCATGCTTATTGTTTGCGGGACAAAGCACAATCACATGAAGATCAAACTCACAAGTGCACAACAAAAGGAGAAGGCGGTTCCTGGCAAGCCACAGCGTTGCAGGAGAAGGAACCGGCGAGTAAGTGGTGGATGGGAAAAGAGGTGATGGTGCAATAGTGGGTAGATGTTGGAGTGTGCGGCTTGCTTTTGCACATTGCTCGGAGAAAAATTGGAATGTGCACAGCTGTATGCAGAGCCTGAGAATGAAGATTCACAGCCGGAACAATGAACTTTTTGGCCTTGTGGGATTGATATAATCTCAGGATATGTGGGTGGCTAAAATGCTTGAACTCCATGATTTTTTTTTTCTTTTTCTTTTTCTCTTCACTCTCTCTCAACTTCAACTCTCAGTGTCGATTCCTTTGAGCTAGGGTATATTAAATTTTTAAAATTGAGACCAAGTCAAACTTTCATGTGGATTGTTCTATACTGGCCAAGTGGGAATAGAAATAAACACAAACTCAAGTGTCAATAGGTTGACATAGAATTAAATGGCTGCACGAACTTCCCCCTAAGATTTATGACTTTTGGGCGCCAGCAGTATGTATGCCTTGAAGCATAAAGTAAAATAATACTCTTTGTGTGCATGAGATAAGATCCACCATACAATCATAACTGCTTACGGTTGGTAACCACTCACCAAAAGAAGTATAAGTCATCATCAATTCATTGGGTTTTTTTTTGTTTTTTTTTTCTCACACCATTTAATAATGATGATTGACATGAAGTCTTGAACTCATACAGCTATTCTGATATATGTTAAGTTATCATTTTATCTAAAAATTTAAACTGATGCCATTGATGGACGATTCAAGCTGTTCAGTACTTTTTATTCATTTTATATTATTTGTTTTAATACATTAGGAAAACAAAAGACTGAAAAATAGTTAAAAGAATCTGTTATTAGGACTCATCAAATCCTCTTAAGTAATTGTTTGGGTGTACTACGTAAAGGCTTTAAAATGCAAGAGGTAAATATTTCTCTTTAGTGTAAGAAAACCTCTCCTATTCCCTTCCCCAATGAGTTCTTTGTATGTTTCCAAAAAGAATGCTGTTATGCTGCCTTGAAGAGTAAACTAATCTTTTGAATCCGAAACCGATGAGAATCATAACCCCCCAATACAACGTTCTCTTTCAGGCCTTTCAACCAATCAATTCGACCCCGGAGAGCTGCTTTTGCTTAAACTCTAGCGGTATCTTGAAAAGTTGTGACAAAACTTAAATTGGCCACAATTCTTCAATTTTCTTCGATCTCAACAGCACTGAAGTTCATGGGGCATCTTATTGAAGACAATTTGCCCATTGGCTTTTTGAGACGACTGATGAGGAATCTCACACAAAAACTTGACCAGGTCCACCGAAAAATGACTCAATCTTCACTGTCCCTCATTTTAACATTGATTAAGCACATAAATAAAATTCCTTTTGATGTTTAGAGAGCACATGACCACACTAGTTTTTGTTTTTACTTGCACATTGCCATGAAAGACAAACTTTAGAGGACAATTCAATTTCCGACCCACATTACAGAAACCAAAAAGCAGATTATGGAATAATTCTGTCAAAAATTCCCCTCCATTGTAGACAATCAAAATTATTCTGAGTTAGCATAATATATTAAGCCGGCCTGTTCTTTGATATTAACAATATTGAATGTTAAGCTGTGAACTAGTCACAGCATAGCTATATTACATGCAGGTGACAATCTATAACCTTGTAAACAACAAATGAATATCACTTGTTGCCGGCATATTTGTCTTGTATTGAATAGTTTTTAAGTCAATAAGTACTAGCAACGACGTTATGACTCTTTCTGTTTCACCTAAAACTTAACTCCAGAAGAAAAGGGGATGGAATTAGTACTAAAAGAGGAGGCCGCGCGCCATTTTAGCCACCATCATCCTATGGAACAAAGCAACTCGCCCGTTGCTGGAGCCATTACTTGCTCAGGATGCAGTCTGAAAATTGTGTCTGGCAAGGACTACTACCGCTGTAAAATCTGCCCCTTTTTTCTCCATCAAGTGTGCTATAATATGCCTCGAAAAACGCGGCATCCCGGGCACCCTGCTCACTATCTAAACCTCCTGGTAATGCCTTCATCAGCCAAAGGCAGCTTCAAGTGTAAGGCTTGTGCACAAAATGTGACTGGTTTCTCCTACAATTGTGCAGAATGTGGGATATTTTACCACATCTTATGCTTTGCAGTGCCACTTTTTATTGTAATCAATTCCCACTCTCACACCCTGAAGCTTGAGTTTTCACTTCCATATGACTTCGAATGTGATTTGTGCCAAGAACCCGGCAATAAAGGCTGGCTCTATAGGTGTCACTTGTGCGAATTCGATACACATCTTGTTTGTGCCATTAACAACCGAAGAGCACAATCTACTCATCATCAATTGGCTCCATTTCCTGACCCTTTAACAAGGCAAATCGTATATTCATCAGCATCATCTCTAATCGAAACCAATGGAAAAATGGAATATGATAGCGAAAGCAATGAGTTGATGCAGTTAGTAGCTCAGGGAATCAGGGAAAGAATGAGGCAAAAGCCTGGAGCCTTCCAAATAAAGCAAGACATCTCTGCCATAACTCCGGATCCTGGAGAAAGTTTGGAACATCAAGATCATTCAAGTTTATTATCTGCAGATCTGAGTACTTTGACAAGTTATCAGTTAAGTGACTCGTGTTTTTCGATAGATATAGCGAGGTCTTATTCAAGTTATGATCCTCAGCAAAATCAAGAAAACAATGAAGCCGGCAATAAAAATCCTGAAGTTGTTCAGGACTCAAAAAACAAGGTTATGCCCAGAAATGATTCGATGCTTGACAGGATTACAAGCAACTTGGAACCTGGAAAACAAGAAAATAATGGAGCTGCAGGTTTCAGTTTTCAGTACAAAGGTTCACAGATTAATCTGCTAAATGAATATTCAAGCCAGAATAAAATGAACAGGGAAAATGAAACCAGGAGCGACTCAGGCATTAAAGATCAGAACCCTATATCAGAAAGAGTAAGTTCAATATTATTATTGACTCTCTTTACATGTATTAACAAAGCATTGATGACGGAAATTTCCCTGTCTTTTTCAGGAAAAAACATGTTGTTCCAAGCTCTTTCAGTGCTTCTATCATCAAGGATATGAGAGAGAGATACCATAAATCTAGCAAAATGGATTATGTATTTGTGGTCAGTAAGTAATCCACTCAAGCACATTGCTCATATGCCTTGTAAATGTTATCATGAATATGAAGCTATGTATTTTGTTCAAGTAAAATTCAGGTCAAGAGAGAATCCGTTATAACAAAATTAGGATTCTCTTCTCAGGTGAGCTCTTATGATCTTTTAAGAATCCAATTATATATGTACATTAATGAGTATTTGTGGTTCAGATTTAATTCCTGTTTTTAATTTTCTCATCAACCACCTATTACAGTTTTATATTTTGTTCAGGTATACATCGCTTCTGTAGAAGAGAATCTTGATCCATGTTTTAGAAGTGTTTAACATGGGCAAGTTTAAAGCGCTATAGGTAACACAACACTACCACATTTGAACTCTTGAATCATAATTTAAGAGATTTTTTTTTTTTTTTTTTATAATGACTGGAAGTATCTAAATTAGCTTACGTGTATCTTAATTAATCCTTCGAAATCTTAGAATTATCGATCAAGTAAGAGTTCTCATGATTATCCTTATTAGTAATTGATAAGAGACTCGAACTCAAGTCTTTTTGAATAATATACCCAAAAGAAGAGTTGTCTGAACCATAATCTAATGATACAATGAGATTATTTTACTTCCAATTTATAATTAACATAATCTGTATTTTCTTCTCAGGAAAACCTCTCGCGTGCATCGACCATTTGTCCATTATCAATAAGTCCAAACATTTATTTAGGAAGCATACAAATTAAATTAATGCCTGTACATATAGTAGTATGACGTTAGTGATAGTAGTGCCTTCAAATAATTATATGTAGGGACAAAAAAAGGTCATTTAAATACTCATAACAGTTGAGAAAAAGAAAAACAACATAAAACTTCCAATAAATCATAATAGTTGTCTTCATCTTTATATAGATCTTTATTATTATTTTTATTTTTATTTTTTGGTTATTGCCTCTGTCATAACTCGAAGAAAGGTTTTTCATCCGGCTACAAAGGAAGTAGTTGGATTTTTAGTTTTTATGACTTTCATTTTAGAGTATATCATGTTTATAATATTGTTAATAAGTTAAATATACAAAAAAAATTGGACCTGCACTGAGCAAACGATTAATTTATATAATAAATAACATGTCACAAATTATAAAATGAAAGACTTTTCTGTGAAATGTGGAAATAAGTAAGACAGCCTGAGAATCTTATTTTATTGATTGATTTGAATTATATCGTTATGTAACAAGATGGAAAGACTATCCCGTGTAAATATATTTATGAAAGAACAAATTAACAAAAGGATTGAGGCCCACCATTTAAAGCATTTTATATATTTATTTATATGACACAGCTAAGTGCTTTTAAAAGAAACAGAAGATATCATATTGGAATGCAGACATTCAATAAGACAGCTTTTGAGCCGCAGGCTCCACATGTGGCTAAAAAGTGCTAAATCATTCTTCAAGTCACTGTGATTTTCCATTTTCATTATTAAGAAACTCAGGTTTTCTATCTTAAATGCTTCTGCTGTCCACCAGCCTGGCCATAAGTATATATAACCTCCTCACCGTCTCTAATTGATTTGTCTACTTTTAAATATACCTCATTGTTTTTACCATATTTGCATTCCGGCGCCTTTACTTTATATATATTCTATTTGAGAAAGTTCATAATACTACGGTGATATTGTTAACTTGATACTACCAATCAATAGACTACTGAGCATAATTAATATAAAAAGAGAAAAGAGAAAAATTATATAGAAGTGACATAAATTCATTGAAATGTATCCCACTTAAAAACTTAAATTAGTAAATAAGGATTCAACATATATTAGATCAATACGTTCCTTTACATCAAACTTAGATTTTCTTTTTCTTTTTTTTTTTATCCAATTTGTATGCGGAGACTCGAACTTAAGACTTTAGTTCTGATACTATGTTAAGAGTAAATATAGATTTGGGCAAAAATTAGAGAGGAATGAGAGAGAGAAGAGAGAGATATTTTTCTTGTTAACTGTTTAACTAACTTACAAGAACAGCGCGCTGTGGCTTTCTTTTAATATAGCCGTAGATACAAAATACTACGTTTCTTGCTCAGCTTTGATATCTGACATTTTAACCCAGAAATTATAGTTTAATCCTGACTATTTTCAAATATTACATTTTAACCTAGATTGCTCCTAAGCTTGTATCTTGATAGGATGGTATGGATGATGTGGTAGCCCGGTGTATTCTACATTTGTTCATCTTATTAGGTAAAGTTGCCCCAAAATAGCTTACAATTAAAACCATTCAATTGCTCTTCAAAAAACTTAATAAATTTCCTCCAAACCTCAAGGTTTTTGGTAGCTTTTCTAACGGTGGAAGCTCTTTTTAAAAAAACTACCTGTTTTGTTGAAATTCAGAAAAGACGTATAAGTAATTGAGAAATTCAAAATTTTATTAGTTTCTCCTAAATCTTAAACTCTAAAATTTTGAGTTTTTTGACAAGCTCTTTTTAAGCTTCGAAATATCAAAATTATCCCCGTACAATTATAGAAATTCAATTTGATCATTTCATATATTAAAACCCTTATTAACTAATTAAGACTAAAAAGTTTTTATATTTTTTTTCTAACTACAACTAATATTTTTTCTTAAAAGCCTCGATCATTCAATCTTATTTTATTAATAAATTTTACTTTGGCAGAATTTTTAATGAATGTTATTAATTAAGAAGTTGGTAATTGAGTATATATACTTATAAAACTTGTAGCTTTTTGGGGTGTAGCTTTATGAGGTTTGTAGGCAAGTAGATTAGAGAATGAGCATCTTAATTTGTGGAAATGGGTTTGGCCATGGTCACCATCCCACTGTCTCCATCTTGGAAAGTCTCTTTTATCACATTAAAGGCTGGATGCACAAAAACGCCAATTTGGTTGCCAGTTGAACCACAAAAAGAAAAGAAAAATATAAGGCAATCGAAATGATACTCCATGCATATCCAGACAAGGACTATATATATTGAAAATTCTTTACAACTATTAAGCAAAAGACCCATACGTTAATGAATAGTCTATGATATAATCTTAATTACAACATTTCTTTATTTTGACAATAAAAAAACGACTGTATGAATTGTATGCACATGTAAATAAGTGTCTCTTCGCAAATAGCTAATGAATGAGAGCATATATCTGTTGGATATGGTTCATACTTCGCATGGCCTTGACGGTTTATCGATTTATGCCGACATATTTGAGAGTCTTGCTCACTCAGGTTAGATTGAGTAAGCCCAGATAGGTTTAGAGTTGAATTGCAAATATTTGGGTCTGGGTTAGATTAGATTGAGTAAGCTCAAATGAGGTTAGGTTTTCTATTATACACATTTTATAATAATAAAAAACCTAGAGTGAGAAATAGAGAGCAAAAGTAAACTACCGATACTTTAAAATTATTATATTCTACAGATTTTTGAAAACTATAAAATACTATGTTTGAATACTTGACGTAATTCTTTTATAGGAATGAACCAAGGTAAATTGATTGTCCTTCCTTACTTTTTTGCTTTTGTTATTGTATGTTTTGGCTGTGGTTTCGACGGTATCAGTGTATAAATCTTAAATATTTTTAAACACATTTCAAGTGAAAGACATTATGTAAAGCCTAAAAACAAATTTATGAGGGCTAGAATCAAAGCGTACAATATATATTCTCTAGTTAGGATTAGTATCTATAAGTCTCGGGTCGCCCTAACTTAATTATTAGACACAGTGAAAGAGGTTTGTGTAAAACCTTAAAGCAAATTCGTATGGACTATACTTATAATAAACAATATTTACTCAATTGAATCCAAACTGATATAATGATGTTGTGAACGCTCGTCACTTCTAATTTCAATTTCAATGTATATTGACAATAAGGGAGATTTTGAGGAAAATGAGTGATTTAATTAAAATTGATAGGTTATGCTTTAGAAATTTTGTCTTTAAAATAAGAAAGGGGAAGTAGTTGTTTGTGATTTTTGTTTTTTCTTTTCTTTTTTCTTTTTCAATTTCCATGGAGATCACAAAGAATATTCTAACATTGTTGATGCTTGATTTTGACACCAACAATTCGTACGTGCAAAGTGCTAAGCTGGCTTAGAAATTACACATGAATGGAAAATGCAATGAAGTAAATGGATTTTTAAAGTGGTTCGGATGTTTAAAGTGAATCTATGTCCACTGTTCTTGTATATATTTATGAGGTTACAGGAGCTTGCGTATAGCGAATAGCGAGCAGAGGTACAAGTGACTGATTATTCAGAGAGAATATCAAGTCAGTCCCTTTCTCGCAGGTTATCTGTGTTTTGAGAGTAAAAGGTTACAATCAGAATGTGGGTTTCTTATCAAAATCCCGAAAATGAGAGGGGGAACCCTCTATTTATAGTAGAATGTTTCAAAGTAATGATTATAAGTCTGCATGTGAGCCGGTGTAATACAATTCCTACCGCACTTCCCATTGGCTAATTACACGGCAAATATCCTCAAATCGCGTAGGGCTTGGACAGGTGGGCAACTCCCATACATTCGTAGACAAAGTCTGAGTCTGCCAAGTTGATGACAGCTATACCCTTTCTATCTTTTAATGACATGGCAGCTCTTGGATAGCACAAAGCCTTCCTGAAGTCTTATTGGCGCTAGCTGACATAAGCTCGCATCAGCCTTGATTTTTTAGGCATAATAGTTCTTCAGGTTCAAGAATTGAATATTGAGAACTTCATGATTATGCCGCGACCTGACTTGTTTCGAAGAGCACCTACTCGAACTATCAGTTGAGAACAGTCTGAACGAAACAAGGTCGATGACTCCACTTGATCAACAAACAAAATGGAGGCTGTGACATGGATCTTCAAGAGTTACACAAGCGACCTGGGTGATTGTCCCAAAAGGTTTAGCGACCTATGTCAGATCCTACCCAGTGTTATACCGAGGTATTTCGAACTCTATTTGTCATCCAC